ACAGGAGGAGGAGGAGGAAGGAGGACCAGGAGGACGACGAGCAGGAGGAAGAGGAAGAGGAAGAGGAGGGCGAAGAGGAAGAGGAAGAGGAAGAGGAAGAGGAAGAGGAAGAGGAAGAGGAACAGGAACAGGAACAGGAACAGGAACAGGAACAGGAACAGGAACAGGAACAGGAAGAGGACGAGGAGGAGCAGATGGAGTTGGAAGACTTGGGCGAGGAGGAACCTGATCGCCGATTCAGGACGTAATTCCGCGGCTGAGTTGTCTCTTGAAAAGTTGTGGAGGAACTTGGCGCTCAGAGCACTCGTGAAGCACAGCATCTGTGCCGATTGTGTTTCTTCACGTTTCTTCCCAAAGGAGACCATTGTGCCATGTCTTGGAGAGTGAAGGGTGCGGAAACCCCAAATCCCAAACCTATACCTATACCCCCAAACCCAGAGCTGTAGTCCTTGTCCCAGCCATGCAAGAGGGAAACAAGCCCTAAGCGCCTTTATTTGGAAAAACAAAAGCAAACGACAACACACGAGTTAAATGAGAACAACGAAGGAAACAATAAATACAACAAACTACGAAAGGAAGATCAACAAAAGGAGGAAAACATTAACAATACCAAAATAACGATCCACTAGCAATACACCTACAAATTTATGAACAACAAGGGAGCATTTGATTATGATTATTATTGTTATTATTGGTGTTATTATTGTTATTATTCATAGTAATAATGAAAGCAATAGCAAAATACAAGAAGCAACAGTTACACTAACATAATCAAAGTAAGACACATCAAGGACAATCACCAAATAAGAAACTCAGAAACCACAAGACAAACTACGAAAGACAGAAGCAACACGATTGCATGGAAGAAGCGACGTAAGAACAACCACAAGAAGAACCACACAGAAAATAAACACAAAAGATTCAAGAGGAGCCTGAAAAACAAAGCAGAAAAACACAGAGCTACACAACAACATAAGCAAATGGATCATGCAATCAACCAATATATATATATTTATTTATTTATATTTTTATTCTTATATGTATATTTATATGTGCGGTGTGTGAACGAGAACAAGGAGCACTGCTGTAATCAAGAAGCACATCATAACAACAAATAATAGCATGGAATTAGCAACAAGAAACCGTACCAACATAACATAGCACCATTTGCCGAAAAGGCAATTAACAACAGAAGAAACAATATGAACGACAAAAGAGAAACACAGCAGCAACAACAACAGCAAAAACCACACCAACACCAACACCCGCACCAACACCAACACCAACACCAACACCCGCACCAACACCAACACCAACAGCAACAACGACAAGGACAAAAGAATATCAACACACAGGACAAAACCACATAAGACACAAAGAGAAGAAAGCGGAAGACAAAACAAAGCCAAGAGAGCAACTCACGAAGAAACACAATAACACACAACAGAGCTAGTCAACTGCATAAATAGAGCACACAAATGAAATAACTAAATGGATAGCTACAAACGAAATACCCCCAATGAAGCACACAAACCAAAAGCAATAAAAAACACAAACGAATAAGCAACCACAGGAGAAACGCATAGGAAACAAACAAATACAAATAGCAAACAAGATAGACGAAGACGAAAGGAATAAACATAACAAGGCAACAACGAAGACACACCAAGAGAATCAACAAGAATGCAACCACAGAGTAAACAAAGAACCGCTAAAATGAGAGCATCAAAAAGAAGTGCCGAGAGAACACCTCAAAACCTCAAGGCCCGCCAGTGGCCCGCCAGGTGGTTCGTGGAGCCAGGCCTTCCCTCGCCTCGGACGCTTGGGCGCTTGGGTGCTCCTGGGAAGATGAGTTTCGGAACTCCAAACTCTTAAGCAGAGCTTAAGCATGTTTTGTCCCCTTGAGAGTGCTAGGACTAAGGTCACGGGCTTTGGAGTTCGGCTGGGGCGAGCAGAGCTGAGACTAGAAATGCAGAAATAAAGTTCAAGACTGGTAGCTCCATAAAAAGGTGCCTGGTGTACCAGCTGCTGACCGGGCGACCGCCCATTTGGGTGCAATTCTCAGTGGGCAAGGGTTTGGGGCTGTTTAGAGTCTAGGCTGCTCTCTCACAGCTTCGAGAGAAAGACAACCGTGTTTCTGTTACGGTGGACGCTCTTGAGCATACTTGCTGACTGGCTGCCCTGTTCGGGGCGTGTGAAGAGGGGCAGGGAAGTAGGGAGAAGGAGGAATTCAGCCCGCGAGCCGAACTTCGGACGGGTGCACGCGGTAGGCAAGAATGAATGCAAGAAAAGACAATGAGAGAAGGAGAGAGAGAGAGAGAGGGAGAGAGTGTCCAGTGCCGTGAAAGGCAAAACCCTTCTGGATGTTGCATGCTTTTCCGGCCCTAGTAGGGTGTGAGATGCAATGCCAATGTTTGTCTCAAGTCGTCTAGCGGGACGCCCCTCACATTCCTGTTCATCGAGCAATCTTGCATATTTCATATCACTTAAGCCCGCTTCCCCGAACAAGAATGCGGGGCAATCGGGGCAAAGGGGGGGGGGTCGCGCGATACCTCTAGCAGATGTTACCAGGTCGTTGCAAACGTACCGGCACTTTCCCAGATACTCATCCCCACATAGCATTGTCTAGCCGCATGGAATGAAACAGCATCTGCCCCGTCTACCCTTCTCGCGCCATGAACGTGCCAGGAAAGCAATTCAACATCAGACCCACAACACCAACTTGGAGACAGGCAGACAAACAGGAAAACAGATCGCTCTCCAAAAGCGGCCTGTGGAGGCTTCAGGTAGCCTCAAGGGTGAACCAGACATGCTCAGTGACAAGGAGAAAACAAGGGAAGACAACACCCAGGCCCATTGACCAACACAGCTGTATAGAACTCCCTGAACGTGGCCCATAGTGGTCGCAGGTAACCCAGGCTCGAGCCAAGACCAGACCGAGCCAAGACAAACAGGCAAGACAAAAAGGCTTCAGGTCTGAGCGGTTTACGTATTCACAGCCCATCCATTGCGCCGAAAGGGAGTGCGGCTTGCGAGAACTTCCTGTCTCTGTAGCGAGAGCTGGCGAGCCGTTAGCAAGATTCGGCAAGGCGGACAGTGAGATGGAGGAGGATGCTGCGGGTTACGGGAGGGCAGCTCTGGCAGGGCAGCTCTGGCATCAGGGACACGAGCATTTTCTGTCGGCAGGGAACTATTTCAGACGCAGGGAATTTGTCTTTAGGTCAACTTACCAGCCGTCTGTACGTGTGGCAATCTGCTTGACGATCACACTACAGGAGTCCTGCAGAAGTTGCTGGTTTGCAAAGAAGTAGCTAGACAGCTGAAACTAGCAGTGCCTCACAACCTCTCTGACCCTCGAGTTGGCTCCTTGGCTACGAAAACTTGCTTGATGAAAGTCCTCGGCGGAATGAGCATGAATTCGACTTTGGGGAGTTGTGCGCTCGTTCGGTGCTTTCGCATGAGACTCAGGGCTTTCTCGGTGTCTCGCCAGAGGACATACGGCGATGCATCATTAGCTTCAAGCTGGACGACGGCCTGGGGGGATGTTGCGAAACGGATGCATGGCATCAGAGGAGTATCTCAAGCAATGTTTCGCAGCGGCCATCCGCGAATCTGTCTTGAAACTGCCGACTGATTGCGATGTGCAGCTTCTTTTAGTGCTTCGCAGTTACGGCATGCTACAACACCGCATGACTGGTCATGACGGTTAGTCAGGCCGCTTACAAGGTCATCCATCCAGCAGACTGGTTCTCTAGTCGGGGCCCTTACACCGCAAACTCCGAAAACTCTGTAAACCCTTATTAGCGGGTTAGGGCCTTCGGTTGCAGCCAAGCCTCCGGGAACATGGCTCCGTCCATGGGCGTCCGCAGCTCCATCGGAAGCCCGACCACCAGCCCTACGCTTGTGAGACTGGGCCGCCGGGCTGAGAGGAGTTTGTCTTGAGGACTTGGGACAAGGCTACTCTGGGATTGTCTTTATTCTCTGAACTTCTGCACGCCCCACTCTAGGCTTGGGCTTGGTTTGCTCAGGGGGACCGGCGCCTGGTGGGGTCCAGTATCGTGCATCCAAGCTTGCCGCTCTGGGGTCCCAAAGCCGGCATTCTGTCCCTCATACTTGGCGAAAGCCCAGAAGGCAAAATGGTGTCATGCTCCAGAAGACAAGTGGATCCCATCCGCCTGATCGAACATGTCCGAAAGCTGAAGTCTGAGACCTGAACACACCTCATGAGATTGCCGCAATGCCTTCAAGCACGAAGGGGAAGAAAGCGCCGATGCAGTAAAGCGCCAAGGCTCCGTGTGTTCGGCCTTGAAGTACAGATATGAACGTCTTGGTGTTTCGATGGGGTCGGAAGGGCTCGTGATTCCGTTTGCAGACATGACTACAACCTTCTGGTTTGAAGTCAACTCCTCGCTCCGACGATGCTGGTGAAGTCTCGTTCTACAACCCTGTCTACACACATCAAAAGTGCCCTGTGCCTCTGCAGGCCTCGCTGTGCCTTTGACGGAGCTCAGCAGCGCGGAAATCGGCAACTCGATTGCTTCAGAGTGATGTCGTTTCGGTTTCAGAGCTCCCGGATGATGCGAGCAGAGTGAGAAAAAAGCCGGCCGAACTTAATGGTGGCAGTGGCCACCTGCTTTCCCGACCTCCGATTGGCTGAACTAGGGCTTGACCTACCCTCGCCCTTGTTTGCACTTGTCCGTTGCAGGCCACAGCCTTCAGCAAACCTTCACCAGTGACGAAGACTTCGCTGATTTTCGAGCTCTGATAGGGCGACTGGAGGATCAGTTCCTGGGCGGAGACATCAGAGACGCTAAGTGCTCCAGATGGCGTGAAACTGAGCAGTTGCGCCAATGTCCCAGCCTTTAAATTGCTTGCTACTTTCATGTAGCTTGCCTTTTCAGCAGAGGTACATACACGAAATGGTCCTCCTGAGTGACGAGAACAAATTGTTAAGATCTGAGATGGCCAAAGTGCTTGGCACTGGCAGCACCGACACCAAGAAAATCGCTGGCATTCGTGGGATGGAAGCAGGCACGACGACTTGTCATGGCAAGGAGGGGAGCATCAACCCAACATTTGCTCCTCGGGCTCTGTGATTTGAATAGATGCTGCAACTGAAGACAGCTCATGTTTTGCATGTCGGGACAGCTTGTGTTGATCTTGCAATTTCAGAGGTTGTCCCCAGTACTGAGGACATGTCAGCCGCCGACCCCAAGTTTCGTGTTGGACAGGAGGCTTGAGGGGATACAAGTCTTCTTCCACCGTCGTTCTGCGGTTAAGCGATTAAGATGCAAGATGATGCATGCCTGCACTTTATCGAGTCTTGCGGCTGTACCAGATCTAGTCCGGACTGCGCGATGCCCATGTCCTGTGGCTATGGACACGGTCTAGCTCCCCCGAATCCGACCCGTGACCCTGAACTTTCACTTATTGGTGCGTGCGTGTACGTGTGAAACCAAACCCCGAAGGCACAAGAATCTCGGTCCGCCGAAGGCCAGGGCCCCTTCCGTGGTGCATTCAGGGACTGCGAGGGAACAAGGAAGCGAAGTTGAGCATTTCGCGTGTTTGAACAAACTCTCAAGCTGAATTGTCGGGGTTTTTGTTTCCGTCTGGCAACTAGTTTTTCGAAACCATGCGCCCCGCAGGATCACGAAATCCACCTTCCTCGGGTCTGCCAGCACATGCAGAGGACGGACACGCGTGAACTGCGGGATTGCGATAGGGCAGGGCCGGTCGCCTCTTCTCTGCAGGAACCTGCAGGCAAGAGCGGAGCGGATGAGCAGTGCGCAGTTGTCATGGGCAGCGCCGCCACCACGCAGATGATCGCGAAGATCGATGCTGAGGTCGAGGCGGGAACCGAAGACATCGCGGAGGCTCACGCAGATTCAGGGAGTCTCTCTGGTCCATTCTGTGTAGAGGCCGCCGTACAGAAGCACGACTGTGCGAGCCGCCTTGAAAGCGATTTCTACGTGCCTCGGCCCATCTTGTCTGCAAGCAGTGCCCGAGGGGCTCGAGAGCGCGGACTCCTCTGAGGAAATCACGATAGGCATGCTCATCATCGTGAATTCTGTGATCATGGCCATTGAATTCGAGTATCAAGGCCTTGTTGAAAGTGTCGTCTGCTGTGAGACTCTCCATGTCCTCTCCAGCGAGAACTTTAACGTGCTTTGCCGTCTGCCAGGCTACATGGTTGGCCACGACCTGGACTACCGGAGAATGGAGGGGAGCCCTGATGAGGCAGCAATTTCAGTGGCAAGCATCCTAAAGCATCGAAGACTTCCGGGGGGCACTCGTAAGACACTCCCAAGTTTGTGAGTGCCGCATGCAGATCTTCTGCAGTTACATCCACTTCGTCCAGGCCTGGCCACATGCGGACAGTGCTTTCTATGCCATCAATCTGGGCTTCACGATTGCTTTTGTTGCTGCTGAGAAGCAAATTATAAGACGGACTGTCGAGCCCGTTGCTGTGGACTTTGTAGCCCGGGCTAACACTCGCAACCGTGATGGAACTCGTTGGTCCAGACATCGCCTAGCTCCACATTTTTGCACCATAGAAGCTATAGCAGCTAAGATTCTGCTGATCCTCAGGTTGACATAGTGCTTCGCCTCAGCTTCCTCCGACTGCGATTCTTCAAACTAACATTCAACTGGCTGGACCTTCTTGTCGTCATCTGCAGCGTCACTGAGATCCTGTTTCAAGACCTGATACCGGTTGTGCTTCGACTGCAAGCGCGTTCATGCGCAAGCGTCTGTGCCAAAGCCAGAACGTCACCAAACAGTTGCATAACGTCCGTTTGGATGAGGATGAGGTTCCGGGTCGTTCTGTTGAAGTTTAGGAATTTCCTTAAACTGAGAACCTTTGGCCCCAAAGCCCTCCATGCCAGGATGACCCCGCTTAAGAAACTCAATCCGAGTGCCCAGGACACGGTCTTCATGCGCCTCCTGCGGCTGGGAAAGGTGGCGCGAGCGATGCGAGTTGTTCGACATACAGAGGACGCTGGTTTCGGTGCTGCGGTGCGAGATCTCGTGTTCGGAGAGAGTTTGGAGTGAGGTGGCTAGTCAATCACAGATGCATTATAGTCTATAGTGCATGATGGTGCTACTACTGCCACACGTCTCGAAGCCGTGCGTACGGAACCGAGGGACCGACTGCGACCGCGACCACGATTATGATGACAATAGTAATGACCATGATGATGATGGTGGTGATGATGGTGATGATGATGATGCTGCTGATGGT